TACATACATATATATATATATATATATATATATATATATATATATATATATATATATATATATATACATATATATACATATATATATATATATATATATATATATATATATATATATATATATATACATACATATATATATATATATATATATATATATATATATATATATATATATATATATATATAATGCATATATATGTATACATACATATATATATATATATATATATATATATATATATATATATATATATATATATATATGTATACATATATATATATATATATATATATATATATATATATATATATATATATATATATATATATATATATATATATATATATATATATATATATATATATATATATATATATGCATATATATATGTATATGTATACATATATATATATATACACATACATATATATATGTATATATATATATATATATATATATATATATATATATATATGTATACATATATATATATATATATATATATATATATATATATATATATATATATATATATATATATATGTATATAATGTATATATATATATATATATATATATATATATATATATATATATATATACATATATATATATATATATATATATATGTATATAATGTATATATATATATATATATATATATATATATATATATATATATATATATATATGTATATATATATATGAATGGTAAAACACCCTACCGTATTGATACTATGGTAGAAAGTCCCGCAGATTAAATCAATTAAAAACAAGACAACGGGTTTCGAATCCTCCTGGATTCAAAAGGATTTCAAAACTGTTGCTCCTTTTTTATAAAATTTGGGTGTGCACTGTGGGTCTTTCTATCATATATATATATATATATATATATATATATATATATATATATATATATATATATATGTGTGTGTGTGTGTGTGTGTGTATACATATATATATATATATATGTGTGTGTGTGTGTGTGTGTATACATATATATATATATATATATATATATATATATATATATATACATATATATATATATATATACATATATATATATATATATATATATATATATATATATATATATACATATATATATATATATATATATATATATATATATATATATATATATATATATATATATATTATCTTGTGCGTGTGTTTGTGGATGTGGGTGTGTATGTGTGTGTGAGTGTGTTTACTGGAAATTGATGGTATAGTATGTTTATGGGTACGTATGTATACACACTTCTCTCCCATGTTTTTTATCCACTTGCCAACTTACGAATGATATTTATGAACGTCTTAGGCAAATAACGTGAGAGGACCTAATAATCGTTTCTTTCGAAGACTTTATTTTCATATGACGTGTGAAATACCATCATCTTTATTTGTTTATTTGTTTTCATTTATCGACATTTCGATTTAAACTCTACACAGCATTTGAATATAAAATCAGAATCGTATATCTGTCAACAGAATTTCTTTTTCTTTAAAAGACATCTATATTCACTCCTGGAAATCATTATATATTAATTCGTCTGGATATAACACTAGAATGAATTCCTTCATGAAACATAAATATCCCAGAGGCTTCCTACTAAACCTCAGAAAGAGGGCGGAGAGTATACTCACGAGATCTAACCCTGCACCTTCTTCTAATGATTTCTCATATTACCGCCATGTAACACTTCCCAGGCGATCAGCAGATACTTCGGCAATACAGTGAGAATCGCCAGCACATCCGGGAAAAAGATACATGACGTAATACGAGATAAGAAGCAGCCCGAAAGCAACCCTAACAGTGCTGTATATCGCATACCCTGCAGCAGATGCGATTCAGCATACTTTGGTGAAACAGGCCGTGGTTTCAGCACCAGGATCAGCGAACATCGAGCTGATATCTGTCACCATAGGACTTCCAACGCCATGGTGGTACGTATAGATGAAGCTGGATATCTACCCGATTGGAAGGAAGCGAAAATAGTCCATGGAGGACTGAACAGACAGAAAAGAAAACTTATGGAAGCTGCTTACATCGCGACGAAGAATAACATCAACGCAGCATCGGGCAGATTCAAATTATCCAAGGTCGCCACTGCAATTATACGAACAGCGAGTGGGAGGTCACAGTCAGGTGGTTCGTCAGCTCATGACTGATATATACATACTCTGTTATTCATTTGATGTATTTCTGACGAAGATGTAATCAAAACCGGTCAAATACATCTCTTGTATTGTGAAGATATTCATTCTCATTCATACCTTTTCCACATTATGCAATATTTAGACCTATTAGTATCATACATCGAGAAAAAACCCAGACGGGAAATTAACATTAACCCAGTTTTAAAAAGGCATATCTTGTTCAACGATATGTACAAAATAAATGACTCTAGTTTCCTGTGTTACTTTATAAACTTACACACATACTGCTACGGTTACCTAA